GGTCAGTGGATGGAAGTTGTGTATACATATTCTATCAGTCCGATGTGTCTAAAGATGTGTGAGAGAACATTAGGAGTAATGAATTCCCTTATGTAGAAGGTGTTCGGGTACAAATAAGCTCTGATATGGATGGGGCAGACTGGACCCAAACTCTGACCAGAAAAGTTAAATGGATCACCTTCCTGGACCACTTTCACCCTTTCACCCTGAGATTCTCTAATGATAAGAAATAGAAGCCACAGTCACTGACTTTGGGGGACTTAAGTGACATACAATAGGTGCCTTTGAAAAAGTGATGGGAATACTATACCCATCAGGGTCCAGGCAGAAAGCTCATCTCAGTGCTGGCAAGAAATGCAGGGATGGGACTCACAGGAAAGCAAGTAATCACAAAACGATCCCAAATGAGCTCGGTATGGCTCCAGACATACAATAGGTGCCTTTGACAAACTGGTGGGAATACTATATCCATCAGGGTCCAGGCAGAAAGCTAAGGGTACCACAATTTGGGTAGTATGAGGATAATTTAATAAAAAGACTGTTTCTAAAAGTGTGGGCAATTTAAGGGGGTAACAATGTCCTGGGGTCAGTGACAACAGAAAAGGGAAAGGCCATCCTTCATTTCCTCTAGACCTTAAAAGTATGAGAGGAGGAAGCAGTCACCAAAACTGAGAGAGAGAGCACCACCTGACAGGGACTCTGACTTTTCATCCTACAGGATCACTGTTAAGACTGTGGAGGGAGCAGGGGCTCGTATGGACCTGAAGGACAGAGGAGTGGACAAATCTGGAGAACCAAAGGAGAACATCTAGGACAAATGCTATCAAGGCACACAAAACAGGGCAAACAAGAAAAGCCCTAGCCTGGGTAAGAGGTTGAAATATATTCTCTTTCTCAGGTCTCTTCCAAAGGGTGTAGTATGAATTTTTATTGGTGGAGCCTCATAGACCTATTGTTCTTTACTATCATTTTGTATCGCTGGCTCTTTTTTCATTCTTCATGTATCCCCTTGGATTAGTTCTCTGAACTAAGCACTCAACTGCAACATATATGCTGTACCCAAAATTGTAGTACCATAGAATACGTATTATATAGGCTGAAAATCTGAGTACAGAATCATCGACCCACACTTAGGCAATTTTCTATCAGATGGCCTTGCTACTCGTTCCTTTATTCAACAGGTAAGTTTAATTATCTCCTTTTTGTCAGGCACTGTGCTAGACATAGGGACACAACAGTCAACAAGACAAGTCCATTGCTGCCTTCACAGAGAATTGAACTGAATATCAGTCACTCTAATCTATAACACCCCTCATCAGTAAAAGAATCTCAGAAGTGCCATAGATCAGAGGTTGGCAAATAATGGCCCACAGGCAAAACGGGGGGGGGGGGTTGTTGCTTGTATAAACATTTTATTGAAATAGACACAGCCATTCTCTTATGTATTGTCTACTGCTTCTTAAGTGCTATAGCTTCAGAGTTGTGTCGTTGCCACAGAAACAGCATGGCCTTGAAAAGCCTGAAATATTTACTATCTGGCCCAATACAGAAAAGTTTGCCAACAGTTACTCTAAATAAAACTTAATGCTTTAAGGACGTAGATATAAGGACACATATTGTCGCTCATAAAACATCTGTGAATACTGTACAAACCAAATCATGAGAGCGTTGGCTCCCTGCAGGGTTATATTTCTATGAAGTTTTGTTTTTGTTGTTTATTTTTCATCTCTCATTGTGAAGAAAGGTAACAAATGGCTAATGTCTTCTACCGACACATTGCCTTACATTATATCTAGTCTTTTGATGGTTCAGAGTTTTTCTACATTATAGAAGGCCCATTTTTACAAACGATCCTTTTCTCTGAATAACACTGAACAAATTTTGACAGGGGTGACTTTAGGCTGTCTTTTAAATTGAACAAAAAAATTGATGGTAAAAGCACTTAGCTAACGTTCAAATGCTATATAAATGCAAAATCAGAGCAGCAACAGTACCTTCACTTCCCTACAGACAGAAACATGAGTGGATGCTTTTTCCTCATCACTTGTCCCAGAGAACATTAAAATTTTAAATGAAAGAAAACAAAACCTAACTTTCATTGGCTGTTACCAAAAATTCCTAATAAGAGGTGACAGGATCTGTGCGGGCTCTGGTTCCTCCAAAGGATGTTAAGAGGCTAAGTCAGTGGTGGCTGTGGCTGACCATCAATTTGCCATTCCCAAAACCCTTTTCTTTCCCTAATGGTGATCAATACAGCATAAAAAAAATTAAATGGACACTTGGGGCATATTTAGTCACTACAATGCAGCAGTAACTGGACTGAGAAAGAACCTCACAAAGTCTTGGTTCCTGAAAGTTTTGCCACCCCACTGATCCGCTGATGAAATACACATCAAGTGCTCATGAGAGGGGAGACTGAGCCCAACCCAGTGAACAGAGCACCAAGAATGAGATGGTAACAGAGAGGCAGCATGGGGAAGGGAAGGCTGACTCAGAAACCAGAGAGATCTCTTAATACCAGCTTAGCCATTCTAGCCTTGAAAATGCCTTCCTTGGACCATGTCAACCCCCCTGAATACATATGCTTTTAACATGCCATACTCTTGTTTCACATCAGTTACCACAAATGCAACTGGATAATTCCTTCTTTAATTAGTTGTTTGCTGTCTATGTCCCTCAATGACAAACAAGCTCCATTGAGCTCATTATCTGTCTGCTCAGAGCAGGAATCCCTACAACTAACACATGGTAAGTGCTGAAAAAATATTAGATGACTGATCTAATGAGTGAATGGATAGGTAAGCAAGCTGGATCCTAGGTACTCTGGAAGCTTATAAGAAAGCTCTGGTTATTCTGTGATATGTTCCTCAAAAATAAATAAATAAATAAACAAACAAACAAATAAATAAATAAATGCCAACATCTTCTTGTGCTTATATACCATACACAATATTCTAAGAATATGCACTAATTGCATACCAACACTTAATCTTCTGTACCAACCATCTCTCTGCTCTTACAATCTCTTCTTCTGTACTGACTTTTATCTCTCAACATACAACCACACTCAAGTTGCTCTCAGCTTTAAAAAAAGAAAAGAAAAAAAAAAAAAAACTTCTCTAATCACCCCCACTCAACTTAGCTATCCTTACCAAGGTCACAAATGACATCATAATTGCCAAACCTTATTATTTGCAAATCCTCATTCTATTTCTCTGCAGCATCAGATCACTAATATGACCCTAATGGCCACTCCCCTATTCCTAAAACACTTTGCTCTCTGACTTAAGGGCACAACTCTCCCAATTATCCTTCTATATAATTCGCTGTCAATTCTATAATAGAATCTAAAGCTGTGTCTATGTTTTCCTCAAACCATTAATACCTCTTGTCTTTATTACCGCATCAACCTTCTGACCGATCTCTTCACTCCTTCCAACACTTCTTCACAGTGCAGTCGTACATTTCCCTCAATAAATCTCCAAAATGATCTGGCCTAATTTAACTGGCTCTATTAAAGTGTGACTCATGACCTTCAACTTCAAGTATCTTTTTCAAGTAGTTTAATGCATATGTGACATAAACATGTCCCATGAAATAACTAGAATATTCTCTCTGAACTTCACCACAGTATCCAGTAGACTACTAACATCTTTAGATATGCTAAAACATAGTTAAGATAGCATTTTCTAAGCTTTAACAAAGCCTCCAAAATACTGGTTTGGGAAAGCTGGTTCCAAATACTGGTATTCCCTCCATCATTCATGAAAAAAACGTCATCCAGATTATACATGTTCCAAATTATACATGCTTTTTACCGCCCTTGATCTAAAACCCTTCTAAAGCAGTAAGTCTTCCAAAATAAAAACAAGTGGAAGAGTAGATAGCAAATCACAAATCTCTGCCAAGGAACTGAATCTCATTGCAGCCTCATGATACGCTGTAAATTCTCTAGATTTTAAATAGGAAAAAGGCAACACAAACAAGCCCAAGAAAGTGATCCTTGTGTGTGTAATTAATTTGATATTATTTATAAAAACACCGCTATTGAAAAATATGTCCTGCTCATGAACAGAGCCCATGTTATTATGTATTTTTTCAACATCGTAAGCATTTTATGAATATTAAGCAACAGTACATTTCTTTATAATATACGGATCCTGATAGAATTCAAGTGCAAAAACATGTTTCCTCAATTCCAGACTACCAAGTTACTTGAAGTCTTTCATAATTCAGTCCCAGCTACTTCTCCCGTCTTATTTCCTGCCACTTCAAACACTCTAGCCATTCTGAAATATTAGGTTTTCTCCATGCATGCCTGGCTTCTTGCCTCTACTCTTACTAACCCCTTCCTCTGTAATGAATTCCCAACTTCCTCCCCTATTTTCCAAATATCTGATACTTATCCCACCTCCATGAAACTTCTCTGTCCCACAGCATTTTGCCTGATTCTTCTAATGCAAGTTCACCCTTTTCTTGAATGTTTCTTGGGCACGTAGATATCCATCCCTAGCACAAGTCCGTGAGGTCCTTGAATGAGGAAGTCATGTATGTCCCATCTTTGACACCTACAGCACTTCATACAGTCCCTCCAATACAGTAGGTGACCGTTTAAAGATCTACTCAGGGAATGGATTTGCCAACCCCAGTAAGGGTTTCAAAACACAGGTCCGCCTTCTCCTCCTCAAAACCTCAGGAACCACTTTGGTGGTCACTAGGCTTAAACATGCTCAGAGGCGTGGAACACACCACAGACACCCATAACTTTCTGCGCCAGAGCTCCGGTGACCCCGGAAGCTCCATGGCAGGTCCGATCCGCGTAAGTAGGTGAAGGGAAACCCCAACAGTATGCGGGGCTAGACAGGGCGCTGCCAGTCGCCTGAATGTAGGTCCGACCCCCGGGCCATTGAAAAGGCAGGGCGGTGCCGGGCGACCCTATGCGTAGGGCGAGCCCCTCAAGGCTGGACAAGGGCAAGCGAGCAGTGCGCTTCCTCACCTACCTTCGGGACTCCTGCAGAGGAGGGAGGGCGCCCTCCGTGAGGAGCCAGTGCAGGCCGGCAAGGAAGCGCAAGGGCTGAAGCCCGGGAAGCCCGAGTGCCTTCCACGCGGCCAGGCGTCCGACCCGCAGCGTGGAACGCTGCCCAGTTCGCCCTGCCTTCTACTCTCGGGGCAAGTGGGCAGGGGCGGGGCCAGAGACCACAAGCCCCAGAAGGCCCCGCGGCCCGCTCGGCCCGTCGCCCGGTCGCCCCGTGGGCCGCTTGTTCCCAAGAGGCGGCTCTGGGCCCCACCGAGGGAGTGGGTGAGAACTCACGCCGAGGCGGCTCGGCCTGGCGTCGCCGAGTTCTTCCAGGACGGCTCTGCGAAGGGAAGGAAACGCGCCGTCGCTTTCCGAAGAAGTGCGCCCCCTCGGGTTGGCCAGCCGGAAAGAGAAACCGAGGCCTTGAGGAGGAAGGATGCTCGCCTTGACTCGTCGTGGAGAGAGATGCAGTGATTCCCTTGGGGGAGGGGAGAACTCGGAGAACTGAGGAAAAGCGGAGCTCCAAAACAATTGTTCTTTTTCCAGAGGGGAAATTAAATTTCTGTGTCTTACAAGAGATTATGATTATTATAGAGTGGATTTGCTCACTTTTTACCTTTCACGTTGTAGTTTTAATCTCTATTCTTAAATCATGTATACCTTGCCTCGTTCTAAAATTCGTTGGCATTTTACATTCCCAGCTGGCTTCTAAGCAGCCTGAGGATACATTCCTTGGGGTGTTCTTTAGTATTACACACGGTGCGTGGTTGCCATTAGGTAGAAGTTTCAACATGTATTTATAGAATCAATTATCGATCATTTCTACGCGGAGGTCTGTTCAGTTTATTTTACTAAATGGCTGAACTTTCTTGATGAAGACACCCATTTGCATGCAGTCAGTTATTGTACATTTCTTTAGAGCATCACTGTTCTAACCATCTGCCCCTTAGAAAGAGTCAGTGATTTTAAGTCTACTGTAATTTGTTTAAGGTATCAGTCTTCATTAATCCTGCAGAGGTAAATTTCAGGTAAACCCAGACGGAATTATCTTGAACTCCAAATTAATGAACACTAGATTAATGGTTTACTGTATTTGCAGTTCCTATTAGAGAAATGTAAAATCCAGTTATAGTTCATCTATCACAGAGATAATCAAGAGTCAAATAGGGGAAATGTTGCAAAGTTGCCTTATGTACTGCATATGTGAAATGCTCTTCAATTCCACTCATTCACTCATTATGCAAATTGGACTGAACTCCTATCTTGTGCCAGGCACTAAGTGAACATGATTATTGCCCTTTACAAGTGTAGTCTGGTAATTAAAACAAATGGGTAAACAAACCATCAAAATACAGTGCAATCACTGAAATCCTATTGGAAAACTGCAGTCAGTTTTAACAAAAGTGTATCTTTTCTCATTAACCTGTACATAGATACTTATTAACCTGAGTATATTTACAATTTTCTTTGATCTTCTGAAGATGGAATGGTTACAGATTTTACAAAAGTGTATAATGGAAAATAACTTTCATGAAAATTGTACAAGTTTTCATGCTAGTTTTTGTATTACTCATTCCTAGTGGGAATATGTAATAAGTAATCAGTACATGTTTGTTGAATGAAAAAATTAATGTGTTCCCAATATCTTAAAACATTTAATTTGTGCCTTTTGAAACTACTTTTCTAAAAACGTTGTGATTCAGCTATGTGTGCCATGGCCCAAACAACTTTTCTAAAAGAGTTTATAAAGAAGGGTAGTAAGGTGAAAATGTGCAATGATGCACCTAAGCTCTCTTATCTCTTCCTTTTGTTCACTGCATGTAAATGCAGAATATTTGAAGGAGGCTTGAGTAAACAGGCAGAACAGAATATCTTAAAAAATTATGTTTGACTCACATAACAGTTTTTTTTTTATTATTCAGTAAAGCAAATTCATTAAATGCCAATCCATATATAGCAGAGGAAGTATTATGGTAACTATGTAGAAATGTTTAGGATCCATATAAAAACATAAAAGAAAATTGTTTACCTCTGTGCAAAATATAAAACCTTAGATGGAGAATACTAAGTTATTATTAGCTAATTCAACATTAACCTAAAATAAGTAAAATGGATGAAGTAAAAGTAAACAATGTAATCAAGAGGGGTGCCTGGGTGACATAGTCAGTTGAGCCATGGACCCTTGGTTTCAGCTTGGGTAGTGATCTCAGGGTCCTGAGATCAAGCCCCGCATCAGGCTCTGCACTCAATGCAGAATCTGCTCAAGTTTCTCTCTCCCTCTCCCTCTGCAACTCCCATCATGCTCATGCTCTCGATCTCTCTCTCTCTCTCTAAAATAAATGAATAAATCTTTAAAAAATGTAATCAAAGAAACAATATTAATTTTAAACAGCTACCTTAACCATAAAGAACAGAGTATCTAAAAATTTCAAATAAGAATGTAAAGTATATCTTTCTTTTTGTTAGAAAATGTTATTGTTATGGAATTATGGAAAATTATGAAAATAGTAGTAAGCTTTTCTATTAAGAAACAGAAACATCAATAATCCCTAGGCCAACACCCATTTAGTTACACAGGAGAAAATTATTACCTCTGCGTTTCAATTCAGTAGTTCAAGAAACATTTATGTTAGGTACAAAGTATAAAAAAGCCCTTTTCCCCAATGATCTTGCTGTGTGGTAAGGAAACCAAATTTTACCACTAAGACAATATAAAGAGCAAACTGAACATCCCTGCTATGCCAGGTAATCATGGGCTATCTCTGAATTAATCCTCACAAAATCCATATGGGCCAAGTACTGTTTTTAATCCTTATTTTAAATGAGAAAACTGAAATTTAAATTGGTTATTCATCCAAGGACATTCAGCTTGTACATGAGTAGCTAGGACTCCTACACGTCTTACTCCAAAGTGAGTAAACTTAATCCTTCCACTCTAGCACAACTGGGAAGCCAGCCAGGTCCCTCTTTAGCAGGTGCCTTTAATTCTAGTCCTGGATCAGAGCATTCTGTCCACTAATGTCTTAACATTCTTAGCAGTATCTGGGACTGCTAATTCTACAAATCTTTCATGTCTTTTAACCATTCATCAGACTTTTTGGAGCCATGTCTCTTGGTTAGACTTCTAGCTGTTACCTTTAATAACTGCTTTAATTTCATTTCCATATTTGTCACAACTCAATATTCTATGGCCTATATTTTTCTCAAATTCATCTAATACCCTAACGTAATTTTCATCAAATTTTGATCTCATGGTCATTAGAATTAACATTATACTACAGAATCCTTCCTATCATTATCATCAATAATTCAAATACTGTTAACACAAAATATAATTTATACTGTCATTTATATAATTATTAGCATAGTCTAGATAACATCTTATAACATTTCCCAAACTTTGTCAGAATGGTTGGTATCTGCTTCAAGGAAGAGCATAATCCATAAAAGTTTCCAAATGTTTAAGACCGTTAAACTAGATCAAATTCTTGGAAAAAAAAATAAGCGATGTATGTTTTTAAAGCACTTGATTTTGTATTTTATAGTCTAAAATTATAGAAAAGTGGAAAGATTAAGAATACATCTGAGGAAAGAAATTTTACACCTATGAATTACATCTCTTTAACATACCTAAAGTCACATACTATAAAAATAATTATTCCCCAAATTAAAATATGTTACTTAACTTAAATACTTGTATTCAAGAAGAACTTTAAAAAGTATTTTACAGGAAATTTACATTTTGAATTTACAGAGAATGTTAGGCTTTTAGAAGAAATGTGTCCCCCAAAAATCCATGCGTAAAGTGAATAATTCTTTTTCATATGAATATTGATTCCTAATTTATGTGATTATAAACTCGGTTTTTAGCTTTTTTGTTTTCTCAGAGCAGTACTTTAGTGAATTTCAGTGTTTTTTTTTTAACTGAAAGTGTTCACAGTTTTACCATCTGAATTGGTGAAAGATATAAGAAACAAATTAAGACTAATCTACCAGAATTATAAACACCACAGAAAGTATTTTAGGTCTATTAGGGAAAAAAATATGTTTTATGAAAATATGAGGTAAAAAAGAAGCTTGGGCTAATTCTGGAAATCATTGAGGCATGTTACCAATTTGGAAAAGGGGCTTTAGAGGCACATTTAAGAAAGCCTTCTGTGGAGATGAAAGAAAAGTTTGTAGAAGTGCAGACTGCTCTGTTACCATTGGATTTACTGTGACTTACTGAAAGACTAGATGACACACACTAGCAAAAAAAGTTAAGGCAAAATAGGTGCTATGGAAATGATGCATGTTTAAAGCTTTAATTTTAAATAAACAAAATATAAGAATTAGGCAGAAATATTCAAACGTAAATGCTGGTATGTTCAACCATTAAAGATGCAAAGGTGATTTAATAATGGGAAAAATTTAAAGCGACACTATTTTGGTTTTATTTAATAATACAAATATTAATCTATGTAAAACAGTTCAGATAAAATGTTAAAGAAAGGAACATTAAGATTATTTGAAAAAAAGAAAAACATACTCTGGGGTGGGAGGGGGGACAATGTAGTGGCAAATCTCCTAGAGGAAGTAGAGCGGACTACATAGATGCTACAGTAAGATATATAAACTGCCTAAGGACTCAGGAAGATAGGTATTAAAACCATTGAGAAAAAGCCCATATCTTATATTGTTTTATATAGCAATACATCTGTTTTATCCTCAGTTGAGATTAATTTGTCTTTTTTTTTTTAATACTGATAGAAGGCGTACAATATAGTGATTATGAGCATGGGCGCTCTGAGCTGAGACTGCCTAGTTTGGTTTACTAGTTTGCCTTTTAGTAGCAAGTGACCCAGAGTAAATTTGATTGGCTTTTAAGATCTCAATTTCTTAATCTATAAAGTGAAGATGATGATAATTACACTCATATTAAATGATATAATTTGTACACAGCACTTCAGTTTCTAGCATACTAGCACACACTGTTTTATATAAATATTAGCTATTATTATCATTTCAATTTCTACTTTCCTTGCATGGTGATTTTTTTTAGCAGCTCCAAATAAAAAAAA